GGCTGGCAGGCTCCGAGCCGCTGCGCGGCGCCCGGGTTGTGTTTGTTCCACCTCACAAAGGGGGGAAAATATTAAGATGCCCCGCACCGAATCACCCGGGCTTGGTCGGGAAAGGATCCGAGAAGCCTCAGGCTTCGTGCTCGCCCTTTGTTTTGTCCAAAGCCGCAGAGACAAAGCGTCCAGGCGTCCCCAACTCCCCCAACTCCGAAGCGGATCCAGGGCTGTCAGAGACCACTTTCTGTTTTTCTTCTAAATTACCTGTTCGCTCCTTTGCCTCTGGAAGTTCTTCTTCTCAGGAGTGATTAGACACATGCTTCCCTTGTTTGGGGGACAAAAATGAAAAGGTTTGCACCCAAAGTTTCCCGGCAATGCTGATTCTTCGCGAGGGAAGTAACACAGGTCCTGTGTGAATTCTGCGTGCTGATCCGCAGGAGCCATGGACTGGGACCAGGACTCCAGGCCAGCCTGCAGGAGTTAGGGTGCCATGGGAGGGGGTTCCTAAACCTTTTGAGGACCTGGGTCATAGGGGACTTAGAGACTTAAATCTTTGATTTGCAGACATTGAAACTCAAATCCCTCTTTTCATAGATGGGGGCGGGGCTCCTCTTTCACTTCTCTAGAGACAGAAATGAGGCTGTTTTCAAAAGCTCTCAGGTTCCCCTCTGAGCTGTGCACAGCAGGGGTCTGGCCTTCAAGAATAGGGATAGCAGAGAAGAAGGGAGACCCCTTAAGCCTGCAGACACCCCCACTTGACTTGGCAGTTAGGGACACAGGTCTGTTCTCAAAGAAAACACGCATTTATTTATTTTTGTATGCTGCAGTGCAGAGACTGACTCAGCCCCTAGAAGTCCTGTTACTCCCAGGAGCAATTCTGTGCACTACGGAGCACGCTCTGACTGGGCTCGCTGACACTTTACAGATGGAAAACAGGCAGCTGCCGCTCCTAAAACACACTTTGACTTAGAAGATGAGCCATAGATTTGAAATAGGAAAAAAACTAAACAGGCAGTAAAATGTTGAACAGGAAGAAAGGAAAAGTCCTAGAACACATCACTGAGACAGCACCTTGGAGCATTCCCACCTCATTCCCTGAATTCCAGTCCAAAGTCTGTCTCCAGACTTATTTCACCATCCGGTTCCAAGGAATCGCAACTCCTCCCTCGAGAGAAAAGCAAGGTAAACTTTATGCTCATGAATTCAATATACTTATTTATTTATAGTTAGGAGCAATATTAGTATTACAACTCACCAGGAACTTTGGCTTAGATATGTCTGCATGAAAATGTGTTAAAGATGCCGGCCGCAGAGCGTGGAAACAAGGGGCTAGACAGATTGAGCTCGGTGGTGACTGGCAGACTACAGGTGGCCCTGTGGGTCCCTGGAATCGCATTCGGACCAGGCCAGTGTCGCTCGTGTCCCCTGGGAATTAATAGTGTGATGAGATTAGTGCTGGTGAAAACCACCGCTGACCGTCCATCTGTCTGTGTGACTTTGGGTACAGGAACTGTGAGAAATTACTGAGAGTGCGAACTCCTGCAGCACCTTCGGCATGCTGACGTATCTTAGTGGAAGAAGTGAAATAGACACGTGTCATTTTGTCCCAATGCTGTGTGCACCAGTGCTCCTCATCTGAAAACTCCGCTAAGGCTCAGACTTGCTGAGACCTCATTCCTTATTAATTGCCAGAGAGAGCGAGCGAGCACCCCCACAGTGTAATCGCTCTCCATCCTTAGGGCTCAGGGCAGGCACCCATGAGCCCAGCCTGGTTGTCAGGCCATCAGGGCTGGGGTTCGAGCCCAGCCGTCCCCACACACGGTGCTGGACGGCTGCGCTCCCTGGGTAGCTCCCGCTGCCTGGCCCTCCTGTGCCTCCCTGCGTCAGCACTGGCCAGGCAGGGCAGACGAGATCCCGAACAGGTCAGCTGGGCCGGGGTCTGCAGAGACCAGCGTGACGCCTGGAACGAGAAAGGAAACTGGGCAACGTGCTGCCGGAACCTCTGCCCTGCAGGGATGTGGGCCTGCACTGCAGCGAGCACGGGGAAAACCACCCAGGACGTGGCTCCCAGCGGGGTGCGCGGCCTCTCCCCACACCGCCCACCCGGAAGGACAGGGCAGGGACGCGCCGGCGTCATCACGCACATCATCACGCACTTCTGTACGTCGGTGCCTGCTCGCTGGCGAAGGGCAGGCCGGCGAGGCTGGCCGGTGCGTGGGAAGGACCCTGGGGTTCCCTCGCCCTGTGCTGTGTAACACTGAGCTCCTCTCAAGCTGCTTCACGTAGACAGCACCGGGACCAAATTCGGATTATGTCAGCTGACCTAGGGCGGTAGGTGGCTTCAGTGAATACATAGAGTGTCTATAGTTTCCGTGGTCACATGTGGCACCTATGTTTTCCTCATTATTTTACAGAACGATCCAGGAAACACAGAGGTCGCACAGACGAACGGGACTGGCCTGGAGGTGGAACGTCTTGTTCAAATGCTGCTTGGCGTTTTTCAGCTCGGGAACCTGGGCGATGAAGCTTGGTCTTGCCATCGGCACAGTGGTGACACCGCCTGTTTCACAGGTAAAAGTCAGAGTTCGCAGCTAGACAGTCCTGAGAACAGTGCCTAGCACACGTCAGGAGAAAGGATGTATATACAAACATAGTCCATGTACGTGTTCAACTCAGCAGCTCGTCATGCAACATTGTGTATGTCCTTGCGGGCAAGCTAGGGGCCCGGGCCTACAACTGCTGGTCTAAGAGTGTCTCTAGTAGGGATCAGCAGGTGGCCTGGTAGTTAGAGGCGCTGGACTGCCACATGGTCAACCATGGTTCGAGGCCCGGACCTGGTGGCTTGAAATGCACACTGTGCATGTTTGTGTGCATGCTCCAAAATGCCCGGAGGAAAACAGAAAAGGGATTGTGTCGTGGCTGTATCCCCTGCGGAGGGATTTTCACTTTCCCTCTCACTGTCTCTCTGTCTCTGTGTGTGTCTCTGCTAGTGCACTGGCCCCATGACAAAAACAAACAAAACAAGTGTCCCTAATACTAACAAAGACTCGTATGTATGTGCAGCACCGTGCGCCCTTCCTGGGTCAGCGCACTGCTTCCGTCCTGCCAGTGACAGCACACGGGTAACTGCTACTACAAGCAATAGGGAAATGAGAGATTTCAGACTAACGTTGCTGCAGGCTGAGTATACCTCGCTCCCGCCACGCACAAATGTAGACAATACCAGGTGGACTGTGCATAAAGTTAAAACACAGATCCTAACACTGATTAATCGTCCATGTATTTCGTAGATTTTAATCCACACCAGCAAGTGCATCTGGGCATGGACCTCACACCTGCCTCAGAACCACCATCTGCGCTACTGGGTGCTGTTTGTTCTGAGGGACACGAGGTGGCGCCCCAAACCAGGCATTTGTTGGGGAAGCTGGACCAATTTCTGCAGGCCTCTGGGTCATCGCCGACCTGTAGTTTACAGTGGGTTTGCAGAGGGCAATGATCATCCGCCTTGGACAGATGATAATTCTGAGGCACCAGGAAGCCCTGAGGGTACAGTAATTCCCAAGCGAGACTGTAGAAGGGACAGAGTCCGTGCCCTGGACTCAGCGGTCTAGAAAAATCCTGCGGGCTGATTCGCTCCCTCCAGGAAGGAGTCATGACCTCCTTGATGAAGCCCAGACTGTGCTGGGTTCAAGGTTCAAGGAAGGAGGGAACGCAGGCTTTACCTTCGTGGGGGGTTGGAGAACGGGGACGGAGGAAAAGGTAGGTGACAGCGGCCACGAAAAGGTCAGAATGGACACACAGGGAGAAGACGGTCCATTTGGCCTGAGGGTGAAGGAAACATCAGTCCTAAAGGAATAGTGAGGTAGCAGCTTGCTCTCACTCTGCTGCACAGCGGCTCGGGGGCAGGGGATCCGCGGCCAGCCCGGGCGCGGCCTTGCCCGC